AAAAAAAAAAAAAAAAGAGAGACAGAGAATGTGATTGTTCTGTACAGACGAGCTAAGCCAAGTCGAGCAATGTCCTTTATCGAGCCTCAGCTCAATTTTCTTTATTGTTGTCCAGCTTGAGATTTGGCTCCAATTTAAGAAGAATTTTGGTTGATTTTTTAGCCAAACTTAACTTGAGTAATGGATATTTAGGTAATTAAGCACACATCGCAGTTGAGCTTACAAAATACAAGCTCGGTTCGAGTTCAACTTCGAGATTCTCGAGCTCAGTCAACCTCAAGCTTGAGTCGAGCTTTGACTCAAGCTCAAGCAAGCGGCTCGCTCTCCGCTCAGACTCCTCTGTACTATAATGTGATGGGCCTGAGTAAAAATTTCAGCAGATCTCAGAGATTATTAGATTAGATTAACCTTCACCATGGAAATAATAAAAGTAAAATTAAAATACCCAATCACATATCCTTTGTTTAACAAAAAAAATGAATGTTTTGCCAGGACATACATCAGAAAGACTGAAGCAATAAGAACCAAGGAGTGAAATTAAAAAGATTTGAAAAACTTTCTCCTTTCTTAATCAGTGGAAATATGAATGAACTTAAAGAAGTCCTCTTTTCTACTTTTGAGTGTCAAAACAAGCTCATTCTAATCCCTTCCGAGCTATTTTTCAGCTTCAGATATTCTCTATCTGAGTAGCTAAGGACCCGAACTTTCTGCAATATAAACAACACACAAAAATACCACACCACAAACCACTCCAAAATACAGCTACTTCTAAAGAGATGGTGTGTTATGAGGCGACTGAGGAGACCCCATCTCCAGCAAAAAGTTTCGACTACAATTCGATCGAGTTGTGCTCGACGAGGAGTTGGCCAGAAACCTCCCGTCCCCACTTGAAAAGACATTCTTGCCCCTGCCTGTCTTTCCCCGACTCTCATTCTCCCCGCACTCTGCATCCTCCACGGCCTCCACAAACCCGCTGTGCAACGGGTCGAAGCTCTCATACAAGAGCCTTAAGACCTGTTTTATTGAAGGTCGGGCCCGGCCGTCTCTCTGTGTGCACCATCTCACGAGTGTTAAGACGGTTTGGAGCTGGTCAAATTCGAACGAGTGCCCAAGGTAAGGGTCGACAAGCTCGGTTATCCTCGACTCGGGCGTGAAGTAGGCCTGGGCCCACTCGACTAGGTTCTTATTGTCTTGTACTGCCCGTTTACCCGTGACAAGCTCCAGCAAAACTACCCCGTAGCTGTACACGTCACTCTTTTCAGTCAGCTCGTTCGTTATCACGTACTCTGGGTCCAGATAACCTGACAAGAGTTTATGTTGTTTTATGCTGTGTTTGGTAAGCATATAAACTAGTTTTATTGATTAGCTTATAAACTTTCTATATTCAAATAAGTTTGGTTTGGTAGGACGAGCATTTTTACAAAGCTTGAGCTTATCTTATAAGCTTCCTTGAGTAGCTTTTCAAAATAAGCTGATTGAAATTTTTATTTTGGCTAGCTATCAGCTAATTTTACCAAACAGTTTTATCATATAACAAGCTTTTCAGTCATAAATCATCAGCTATTAACTATAAGCTCGAATTTCATTTAAAAGCTATAAGCTAACTTATCAGCTAGGTTTACGAAACACAGCTTTAGTCTTCAGGCAAGCAGATTTTTCAGGAGAAAAAGGATGCTCATTCCAAGAAATTATTATTTTTTTAAAAAGTGAATAAACAATTCTTCTTTAATATCCCCTATATATAATTCCCGAATGCGCTGAGCTTACGTGGCTGTTTCTGGTGCTTCGGAATCCTACTTGGCGAATAATCATACTTCGTAATTAGGTTTGGACAAATAATATTGATATATTAATAATTAATAATATAGGTTTGGACATTCCATAAATATTATTTAGCTAACTTAAGTATTTTAATAACACTTGTACTAATATAACCCTTTAATTCTTTGTAATTTTACATAATGCGCACTAAGTGACTAATATATCCCTGACTTTTGATTTGCTTCCTTTAATTCTTTCCGGATTATCCATAAATATGTTGATTATTTATAATTACATGTATTAATTGCATTTTAATATCATTTACTATTATAACCATTGATTTGTAAATGTATTTTAAAAATTAATAACTTTTGTATTTTTTATTAGTTTTACATATATAATATATCAAATTAATCATCTCTTGATGTGTTTCGATTTAACATCCATATTGTATGTATAACATCAATTTATATTAATCTTTATAACATTAATAAAATATTTTTAAATATGAATTAGAAAAATAAAATTATTTATCAATTAATATATTTATATTTCAAGTAGTTATATAATATAAGTTATAAAAATTACTATAATATAACACACGTAAGTCGCACAAGTAACAAATGTCATTCTAAACTATATAATAATATATACTTTTGTAAAAAAGTAAATAAAATTAAAAATAATTTTGCTCATTAAAAATTTCAGAATAATTTTTTAACAAGGACCCGTGTAATACACGGGTGTTAGTTTTAGTTACAAATACACACTTAACATTTGTTATTTCCGCCATAAGGGATCTTATTGAAATCTTAGTAGATCAACAAGAGATTCTGTAACGGGGTTAAACTTTCTGGGCTAGATTATTGGTTTATTCCTTTTATGTTTTACATAACTCACTGACCTGGAGTCCCTCGTATATCTGTGTTTACGGGTTCGAAGCAAATGGAACCATCCTTTGACGCGTGCACGAGGCCAAAATCAGCAACCTGGGAGAGATGGTAAAATTTATGTGTATTTTGAATATATTAATGGAACCAAGGGTTTTGATGAATTACAAAACAATCAGCTGGCCACATAAAGATATGACTTATTTACTATGTTAATGCATGTCTGCCTTCAGCTAATAAAATGTGTTACCTTCGCCACAAAGTTTTCGTCTATTAGTATATTGCTCGACTTGATATCTCTATGGCACAAAGGAGGATCACAGTAAAAATGGAGGTATTCCTGCACAAAGAAAAATGAATTCGTTGAGTTTAACTATGAAAAAAGTTTAGATGATAATATATTATAAGGAATAAGTGTTGTTATAGATGACCGTGGAATTTACCAGCGCATTTGCTACATCAATGGCAATTTGGATTCTTGCACGCCAGCTGAGAGGAGTTCTCCCTTGTGCTGAACATAAAAGAGATTTTTAAGAATATTTGAGGGTTGTGCAACTTTTTATTTCACACTCATTTAAATTTGTTGAGAACATGCAATATTAATTCCCTCCCTTTAAGGTATGATTTGATTCTCCTGAAAAATTCGCTACTCTTTGATAAATACTAAAACCATTTTACAAAAAAATATAAATATGGAGACAATAAACATAACAGCATACTGTGGAGATGATCCTTTAAGCTTCCATTCGCCATAAATTCATACATTAGAAACCTGTGATCGAATAAATTGCAGGTATTAGTTTCCTTAATGTAAATGGTGAGCACATTCATCTTCCTCTGCTTAAAAAAAGGCACAAGAATGAGAAAGAAATACGAGCACCTCTCGTGCCTTTCCATAGAGAAGCCTCGGAGAGCAACAAGATGGCGATGATGTAGTCGAGCAAGAAGCTCTAATTCCCTGCAAAATTCATCGTTTGCCTGCTCTGAAACTTTACTCATCCTCTTAACTGCTGCAACTAAACCATCTTGAAACTCACCCTTGTATACAACTCCAAATCCCCCTTGTCCAATAACAGTGCTAAAGTTATTTGTAGCTTTCTTTGTCTCTCTGTAGCTGAATTTTCTGAACATACAGGGGGGACCTTGAAGTAATTTGTACAATACACGATCAATAGAATCAGAATATGCATACATAACTTCGTAACACCAAACTAAAAGAACAATGGGATTGTTGTCACAAATATCACCCTTGAGATCTAGCATAATTACAAGGAACTCCACTTTTTCTTTTTCTCCAAATTACCAAAAAAATAAAAATAAAAAACTCATTCGGTTTGTTTCGTTTCTCCAACAAATAATTCCATCTTCAGGATGCTACAATATCAAGGACTATATGTAACTCATAGGTTTGAAAGATATGCATCTCTTGTAACAGTTAGTTACAAGTACCCCTGAGGTTTGAACTAATTACAAAACACCATTTATAATTTTATTAGTGAAAAACAAGAAAATAATAAAAATAATAAGCAAGAATGATCCAACAACTCCTTTTACTTTCATAAATTGTCACCAGTTAGCCCATTAATCATAACACACCTAATTAGAACATAGGGATACTTTTGCAATGTTGAAAAAGTTAGCTTTAATCCTTTTTTTTTTTTTTTTTTCTTATTGAAAATTAGGTCAAACCTTGATGCACTGTCTGCAGACATCCCTTTTTTCTCAATATTTAGACTAAACTTCAAGGCAGTTTTCTTAAGTTCCTGAAAAGAAAATCCAAGGAGAAACAATGACATACCATCCTGAAGCTTTCTAGATTCAAGAGCAATGGGCTTTGGGGATGTCTCGTCATTTATATCCGAGTTATCCGAGTCATCCACCAGCTCTCGGCTTTTCCTGCGAATGAGGACAACTAATACAGCAACCATTGTGATAGCAAGTGCTGTAACTGCAATACCAATGCCTGGGACCACTGTGAGGTGGTAGTGATGGCGATTTTCATTCACAGGCGAGATTAAGGAAAGCTGAGTTGGACCAGCAGCAACTGGTGGACTGGCAGACAATTCGGTTGAATTTGAGGAAGGTGGAGAACCTAAAATTTGGGAGAAAAGAGTTTTTAGCACAATAAGTGCACTAAAATGCTGCATTAAATTATGTCGAAATATTCAGTATGTTCATCGCATACGCCGAAGCCTTAGAAAGTAGCTATTGGATTCATATAGGCTTTAGCCCAATCTGACAACTTCTTACTGCACTTCAAAACAACCGTCGAAAAGCTAAACATATAGATCTAGTCATTGTAGAAATCTCCTGTCTGCTCAATCATTAAACATGTTTCAAGTTTCAAGGTGCAAGTTAAATTAAAATAGCCATGTTTTGAGAAAAAAAATACCAGGAGGCAAATATCCCCACTCATAAAAAGCCTACCACACACACAAATAAATAAACAACAACAACAACAACAATTTACCATGAAAAGGCTAACCTGTTAAAGTTATAAGACCCTGAACCCCAAAAAAACAGCTAGCGATGTCAATAGTCGACGAGTAATCAACTTGGCTGGCAATGGCAGCAAAAGTTGCATCCCTACATGTACTCAACGTCACATTGTTCACTGGCCCCAGTAGATTTCGGAGATAAAGAATGCCAGCATTCAAGCATTTTCGACAGGCTTTATCGGCCGAAAGAGGCGCCTTGCAATTTTCAGAAACATCACTGAACTTTGGAGATTGAAGCATCTGTGTAACAGTTGTCCGGCCCTGGCAATCATAGTTCATAGGTATTTTTGTCCCGAACCCACAGAAAATTGATGCATTCTGTCTCACTCCGTATAGCTCGAATGTTTTGGATATTGTCTGGATGCAGGTATCAGATAAATCTGGAGCTACCCCGAGATTGCTTGTTGTGTTTGCATACCGGGAAATTGAAATTGCTATCAAGGCATTAATATAACGACAACACATTCCTCTATCCTCTTGGTCGGAGCAAAGGGAAGCAGCCAGAGTGAAATTCGACCCACTTAAGTTCAATGGGCAATCTGCATTGTTAGGGGATAACAGATAATCGTTATCACAGTTAGTACACTTACAATGCAACAACAAGGCTTACTCGGGAATTATTCATTAGTTATAATGCTCTGACGAGCTAATCACACACCCCTAGCCCTTTTTCTGCATCAAATTTTCAAACACGGCTAGCAGCATTTTTGTCGATTCGATAAACACATTGAACAAACTACAATTGCCCATACCGAAAATGCTACTCAGTCGAATTCACAAAAACACTCTACGAAAAACCAACAATGTCCCATTAGCTTTTGATTATCATTTTCAATCACATTGGTCTTAAATCCCTATTTCATAACACTACAACCTACACACAGATGCCTCTTTTCCCAAATGCACAACAAAACACAACATAACATCAACTTAACAACTCGACAACGGTACTAATTTAGCAGCAGCGCCATTTTCGTTTACGAATCCGAACGCTCTGTAAATCAGTGCAAAATCAAGATGCTATAAATGAACTTAAAAAAA